GTGCCACGCTAGTAGTAACAGGTGCCTTACTAGTAGTAACAAGAAGCTATTAATTTAAATTCAAGTTATTTATTTTTAATTCTAGTAGCTTCTTGTTACTACTAGTAAGGCACTTGTTACTACTAGCGTGGCACTTGTTACTACTTACTAGGAACAAGAACTCGCAAAGCCGGCCGGCAATGCCGTCTGTCCGGGATCGTCCCATCCGTCCTGTGCAGTCATGGGCCTTTGGCTTCAAGCACCTGGCACAGAATCCCAGACAAAGCCGAAAGGCCTTGATGTTTTTCTCAAACCCATGCTGCTTTGGGTGGTTTGGGGACTCTTGCTTCACCGTCTGAAGATCTGAAAAGCGAGGTTGTCGCCACTTTTGCATCGTTTGGCAACATTCCGTGAGCCGAATTTGCCCAGGCACGCTCCCTGTGCTGATGCTGGAGCAGAGGGGCAAAGCCTCGGATTGCGTCGATCGGCATCCGATCCCCACAGGTCGTCAGCTGCTTTAGTTAATGCTTTACTTTCTTTTGCGCGGCTGAACAAGACTCGTGTAGGCTTGGGCCTTCTCTTCTCCAACAAGTGCCAGGGCCCTGGCGAATTGTCTGGGCAACATTGGCTCTGCTGGCACGAGGTCTTCCTGGGCGGATGGAGGCAGTTGCCACCATGTCTTGGAGGGACACGCCAGTCACCATTGTTTGAGGCTTCTCTTGTTGGAGATCATCACATGCTCCAAAAAACATTATGCAAAATGCTTTCGCTAGGTCTCACACCCATCAGGGCACATAACAACACTGCCCACCGGGCAGTGGCCATCCTGTCAGGTTGGATCTTGATCTCATTCCTTTATGGAACTTTGGCAGGAAATTTACAAATGGAACCAGCCGGAGTCAAATGGTTTGGGATTGTACATTGATGTTTGGTGTTCTGCCATTGTCCTAAACATTCAACGTTAAAGAGTTTACAAGCGGAAAGTCCATCTATCAGAGGGATCTTCGCACGCTGCACCTTGCTCTTCTGCACTTTCTTCATGGCCTGAATGCGCCCAGCTCTGAAAGTCACTGAAAAATCTGAAGAGCGGACAAGCATTGACGGCTTCCAAGCCCCCGGCTGGGTCGTCGCCATCCGTGCCCCTGCGGAATGATCGAAATCTCAATATTCGGAAGACTGTCTGAATTTTCAAGCATGTCACAGTCCATCACGTTCACCCTGAAAGTCTTGAACTTTCAATGACAGAAGGCGTGAGTAGCTTGAAGCCTCAAAAAGTATGCCCGCCGCCTGCAGGCGACCTGCTTTGGAGTCTTGCACATGGGGCTGGAGTAGAAGGGCGCTGAGGGGCAAAGCCTTGGCCGAAAGGTTACTCTGGGAAACCCGAAGAATCGAATTGGAAAAACAAAGAGTTGAAACATTAGTAGCGTCCTTGCCCCCAGTACGGCCAGGAGCCCCTAGCAGCGTCCCTGCCAGGAGCCCCTTGTTCCTAGTACGGCCAGGAGCCCCTAGTTCCTTGCTTCTAAGGAAATGTATAAAGAAACATGCAAGGCACGCGGCTTGTTCTTTCATGTTCTTTTGGTTACTCCGGGAAGCCCGTTCTCTTTCCAAAGCTCCGGACGACCCGTCTGGGCAGCAAGATTCGCTAATGCACCTGATGCTCCTTGGAATTCAAAATGCAATCCAGACGCACAAAATGTCGCTCTCGGCTCTCAAAGAGGAAAGAATAAACAAGGCAGGCTGTGCGCCTGATATGGCTAGCTCTTTTGCCTGAATTGAGCACTGCACTGTGCTGCACACCTTCTTTTTGTTGCAGCAATGCAACTGCTCCTATGCTGCTACGCGTTTTGGCAGCAACTAACCTACACGCTCTACAACTAGTGCCAGTTCGCCACAGAAACAGCAAACGCTGTGATACACGTGCAACTGCCGCAGAAAGACCTCAGTGCTTTCCAGAACATTGCTCGGATGCTCAGAGGGAAAGGATTGCCAAAGGCATCAAAGGCACATAAAAATGATCATCAAGAAGAAAGGCATATTGCCAGAGCAAATGGTCCTCGGCTCCACTGAGATTGCTCCGTTCGTAGCGTCCTTGCTCCTAGTAGCGATGCCAGGAGCCCCTAGTAGCTTCTTGTTACTACTAGCTACTTGCTCCTAGTAGTACGGCCAGGAGCCCCTAGTAGCGTCCTTGCTCCTAGGGCCCTTTTACGGCATCCCCTTGCATCTCTTCTTTCTTCGACCAAAGACCCTAGAGATGCCAAGAGTCCCCGCGATGCACCGCCCAAAGACCCCGCAATGATGGTCAAAGAACCTCACACAGCGCCCGCAGGTCCTGGCCAAAAGGAATCTCAATGCGAAAACGGCAAACCTCTGAAGAATTCTACGAAGGCGACAAAAAGGGAAAACAATGTGGGAGGAGTCCAGCCATCCCTTTGACCAGTTTCTTCCTTCCCGTTGAACTAAACTGACCCAAATGTTCTATAATTGACATTGATCGACAAGAACAACTTTACATTGATCGACAAGAACAACTTTGGCATCGTCCTTTCTCAGAAGGGCAGGTGACCCAAAGCCAAACTGCGTCTGTCGAAAATGTGTCCTTCCTTATTCCCGATCCGGCACCTCCCTACAGGCACCAATGCCAGCGTCCCCTATCTCTCTGGCGACACATGGAGATTACACCACGTGAACACTCACAACAAGGCTTTTGACTTGCTTCCCACCCCGAGCACGAGAAAACTGAAGCGAAGCCGAGATGTTTGGGTGCGTTTTGTTGAGTTTCCAGTGCCGGGATGTGTGACCGTAGGGTTGCTTCGGAGATATGCTTCCGGGGTATGCTTCATCTACTTGGAACATCAGATAATCTGAACATGACAAGAAATTTTGTGGTTAGGAACAGCCTTCCCGCATTCATCAGTTATTCATTGAAGTTGGACATCCCTGCGCCCCAGTGAGGCTGACACAAAGCCTGCAGTTCGACCAACCTCTTTTGTTGTGGAGATGTCTCAGTCTTAACAGCACCAGCACAAGTAGAAAGGACACTTTCTTCACTAGAAGGTCTCTACTAGTCTTTACAATTTGTGCAAGTCCTGCATCTTTGAACTTGAAAATAACAAGAAAGCTTTCTAGTAACTAGAAGCTTCCTTGGGAATCGTTTCACCTGTAGTGAAAAGAAGCTTTTTAGATATTTTTAGATCTTTTTAGTATGTCTTTGATCGCTACTAGTAACAATAAAATTGTCTGTAGACGTCTTTCGATTCCTCCGGCCGCATTTCGACTTGAAAGGTTGGCGAACGCTCTCGCCTGCAGTGGTGGCTGTTGCCGCTTCGAAAGCCCGGCACAAAGACCAGCCATCGGACAACTCGTTTCAGCTTCTGCACCGCAGGGGCCTATGCAAACTCCCAAGAAGTGGAAGAATCCTCTGACATGCTTTCTTCGCTTTTAGGTTGAAGCCCATCGCCAGTAGGTTGGAGGCCGGTGCTATTAGGTTCGAGGCCATCGCTAGTAGGTT